CAGTCTGTCTCACTCACTCCGCTTCCCGTCGCTCTAGGTCGTAACTCAGGTGGGCTCCGGGCAGCGCCGCCACCAGGCCAAGCGACGCCAAGCGACGCCAAGCGCTACCGCGGACCGCGCCCCTCCCCCCAGGCCAGGGCAGCCAGCCCAGCGGGGGACCTCGCAAACGACTTGAGCCCCGTCCCGAGCCAGTCCGGCAGCCCGGGATGAAATTACAGAGCGACGGCCAAATTAGTGATAAACGGTTTGTAAACTGCCGCGCCGCGCCACGGCATGCAACGGGGCCGCCGCGGGTCCCGCTCGGCAAAGCCGGGGAAAGCCACGCCACGCCAGGCCGGACCACTCCACCGCCAAGACGAACCGTCCGCGCCGCCGCGACGTGCTTTACGTGTCAATCGGGGCCAGGACCGACCGGGACCCCTCGGCCGAGTGGAGTGTCTCGCAGGTGTCTCCCCGCTTCCGGCCGCTTCCTGGCGCCTGCACTGTCCACCCAGTGCTCCTCCCGCGCGCCCTACAGTGTCCTACCGCGTCGCGTCGCGGCGATTGCAATCAAGCCCTTGAGAGAGGGAAGCGGGAAATGCGAATTAGCCACCGGATTAGCATGCGGGAGGCGTCGGGGGCCCCCCGGCCCGGGGGGCCCCCGCCCGCAGCCCCACTCCACCCCAAGACGCCCCGCGAGTCCCGCGACGTTTGCGGCCGGGGCCAGGACCGACCGGGACTCGGCGGTGGGGCCGGGGCTCGGGCCCCCGGCGCCGCACGAAGTGGCGGCCGGCCAGCGTGGCGTCGTGCGATTAAAGTGGAACCCCTTGAGAGAGGAAGGGGGAAAAGAAAACCACCGGGTGCAGGCCGCCCCGCCCCGCCCCTGCCCCGCCCCCCCCGAGCCCGCCCCGACGTCAAATGTCTCATCGCCTGAACAACCCGGCGCCGGCCGCGGCTTCTTTCCCCATTCGGGAATCCTGCAGCAGCCAACGGCGACGCCTGGTGCAAGGCCCCACCCCGCCCCGCCCCGCTCTGATTTTGGGCCCCGGGCCGCGCTTCCCCGCAAAAACCGCCACAAGACGCCCAACCCCACCCCCACACACACCACACACACCACACACACACACACACCACACCACACACACACACACACACACACACACACACACACACACGCGCACACACACGCAGGCACACCGCTGCACCTGATGCTCCTTTTTGTGGCACGCCAGCGACGCCAGCGACGCCAGCCCAAACAACACGGCGACGACGCGGCAAAAAGAAGAGTCGGGAATCGAACGGCCAGGGTGGCACCCCACGGGCACACACACACACACCTATGGACACACACACACAGGCACTTTAACCAAGACACTTTAATTTTTCCCTGCATTTGATTTTTTACCATTTTTTCCCTGGCGTAACATTGCGAAAAATTCCCAGACGCCGCCGCCGGCCTCCCAATTCTAATTCCCGATCAATACCTCGCCTCGCCTCGCCGGCCCGACCAAATTGGCCCCGGCGGCCCGACGCCCAATCGGCCCAATTACTGCAGCAGCGGCAGCGGCCCAAACGGACCGAGCGTCTCAGCGTCTACGCGTACAGGGCGGGGCGGGGCGCGGAGGGGTGTGCGCGTCCGCGCCAAGCATGACTCTAACGAGGCCCGCCGATCGGAGTGACGCCGCGCCCCGCCCGGCCGGGCCAGGCAGGCAGGCGGGCAGCACGGTAGCGCGGCCCGGTGCCAGCCAGACAGCGAATTATTTCGTAACGGCTCGGATAATCAGCACGGCCCTCAATAATGGAAGCTCCGCCGTGGCGCCACCAGCGCATCCTGGCTGCGAGTCAAGCCCGCGCAATGCAATCAGGTGTCCTAGTCCGACTCCGGACGCTGTCTCCCTCGCACCCCTTGCGGCCTGCGGGCCGCCCCACGAGTGCGGGTGAGATGGCGAAAGGCCCGTCGGGAGTGGCCGTCCTTGCTGCAGCAGCGCCAAGCAGCGCGGCCGGCCTAACGAGACGGACCTCCACGGCGTCCTCGGCGCGCCTCCGCCAGCTCATCAAGCAGCGCGTCATCTTCGTTACACTTTGCCCTGCCGCCCTGCCCTCGCTCGTAAAGGCCCCGGTGGTCGGCCAATCAATGACCTTGTCGCAGTAAAACCAAAACCGCACCACGGCGACGACGACGCGGCCGGCGCGGTGCGGCCAGGTCGTCGTGGAGCCCAAGCACCAAGTCCGGCAGCCCAGCCCGGGCATCCCGGCATACATTGTCCGGCAGCGGCCGCGAGGGCGGGGCGAGGGCGGGGCGCACCGCGTACCGTAAACATCCCCACGGCAGGCCGGCTCCGCGCTCTGTCTCTCTCGCGCCCACGCGGGCCGCCTTCACGAGCGCGAGAGAGACAGAGCGACACCGCCCGGCCCGGCCCCTCCCGTAAAAAGGTTTCCTTCCCTGGCGCCCGCGGGACACGCCGCTTCACACAGCAGAGCGGGACCGATTCCGCGTCGCTCCGTCTCTCTCGCACTCGCGGGGCGTCGCGGAGGGGTGCGAGAGAGACGGGGCGACGACAGCGCACCGCTCGGCGCCGGCCCGCGGCAGCGCGGCAGCATCGGCTACCTCACGTAATTTTCCAATCAACACGCTGATTCATACGCCGGGGGATCGTTAATTGATTGTACATATCGCCTGATTGCTCATTCGACGCGGAGTGGAGTGGAGCCGAGCCGTCCGGCAGACCGGCTGGCACTCGGCGGCCCGACCAGCTCGACACGCCGGGGAAGGGAAACGAGCGGCACTACACTGCGAACCGCGCCGACCGCGGCCACGACGCCGAGGTCTCTATCTGCGGCGATGCAGTGGACAAAGACGCGAAGACCAACGGACTGCTAGCTACACCAGGCCGCCGAACCGCCTGTCAGCCCGGCTGTTAGGCAACCGGGCGCCACCGCTGCGGGCTGGTGGCCCACCGGCCAGGCCAGCGGTTCTCAACCTTTCTCGGCTCGCGACCCCAAATTTGAAGCCAAAAATTTCCGCGACCCCCAGGAAAAATTTCGCGACCCCACGGGACCCCTCCTTTAACATGCCACGGCGTCTGATCCGAGGCGGGCATTTTGCTCCCTCAACGGGCAACTGGTCTTTGGACCTTCCTTTAGCATGCCTTTGTTACGGAGTGCAATTATCAGTCTTAGTTTGGGAGCAGTATTGTCTCAAAGTTGGCCAAAACGCTCAGAAATGTCTATGAAAAATCGTGTTTTGGGCTGATTTTAAGCAGCCACAGCGTCTGATCCGAGGCGGGCATTTTGCTCCCTCAACGGGCAGTTGGTCTTTGGACCTTCCTTTAGCATGCCTTGTTACGGAGTGCGATTATCAGTCTTAGTTTGGGAGCAGTATTGTCTCAAAGTTGGCCGAAACGGTCAGCAGTGTCTTTGAAAAATCGTGTTTTGGGCCGATTTTAAGCAGCCACTGCGTCTGATCCGAGGCGGGCATTTTGCTCCCTCAACGGGCATCTGGTCTTTGGACCTTCCTTTAGCATGCCTTTGTTACGGAGTGCAATTATCAGTCTTAGTTTGAGAGCAGTATTGTCTCAAAGTTGGCCGAAACGCTCAGAAATGTCTATGAAAAATCGTGTTTTGGGCCGATTTTAAGCAGCCACTGCGTCTGATCCGAGGCGGGCATTTTGCTCCCTCAACGGGCAATTGGTCTTTGGACCTTCCTTTAGCATGCCTTTGTTACGGAGTGCGATTATCAGTCTTAGTTTGGGAGCAGTATTGTCTCAAAGTTGACCAAAATAGTCACAACGATTTTTCAAAGACACTTGCGACCGTTTTGATCGACTTTGAGACAATACTGCTCCCAAACTAAGACTGACAATCGCACTCCGTAACAAAGGCATGCTAAAGGAAGGTCCAAAGACCAATTGCCCGTTGAGGGAGCAAAATGCCCGCCTCGGATCAGACGCAGTGGCTGCTTAAAATCGGCCCAAAACACGATTTTTCATAGACATTTCTGAGCGTTTCGGCCAACTTTGAGACAATACTGCTCCCAAACTAAGACTGATAATCGCACTCCGTAACAAAGGCATGCTAAAGGAAGGTCCAAAGACCAATTGCCCGTTGAGGGAGCAAAATGCCCGCCTCGGATCAGACGCAGTGGCTGCTTAAAATCGGCCCAAAACACGATTTTTCATAGACATTTCTGAGCGTTTCGGCCAACTTTGAGACAATACTGCTCCCAAACTAAGACTGATAATTGCACTCCGTAACAAGGCATGCTAAAGGAAGGTCCAAAGACCGATTGCCCGTTGAGGGAGCAAAATGCCCGCCTCGGATCAGACGCAGTGGCTGCTTAAAATCGGCCTAAAACACGACCCCAGCATCGCCGCGACCCCTTAAAAAAATTTCGCGACCCCGCTTGGCGTCGCGACCCTAAGGTTGAGAACCACTGGGCCAGGCTGAGACTCACCGCCAAGTTTGCCCACGCAGGTTGAACCAAGGGCCGAGGGACCGAGCCTTGCGGGAAGCAGACTCCGTAAACGCGACCATTTCTCCAGCACTGTAAGTTTCTCCCTTTGCACGCGCCAGGGCCAGGATGGTCCGGGCAAGAGGCCGTGGGGTGCCCCGATTCCGAGCAGCGCTTTGCAGCCGTCTCCCTCGCACCCTTGCGGGGCTCCCCGTGAGAGTGAGAGAGAGGGCGAGCCTGGTAGGCAATCAGCGCGGCATGGGGCAAGGCATGGGGCTCCTCGCGGGGCGTAACGCGCGGACGGGCGCGCCGGGCCCCGCGGGGGGCACGCCGGAGCTAATGGATCATTTTAATTCCAGGAGGCTCTGTCTCTCTCACATACACGCTGACAGCGCGTCGCGTAGGGGTGCGAGAGAGACGGAGAGATGGAGCTGCGCAGGCCCGGCCTCCGGGAGGTGGGCGTCGGCGCGGCGTCGCGACGGCGTGCCTGTCTGACAGTGTCACTTCGCCGCCATCCACGGCAAGCGTTCCGTTCCCAACGCCGAAATAAATCAACGACGTGCTTCCTTACCTTGAACGTCGCCAGCCGGGGGTTCTCCGCGGACAGCTTGGCCAGGATCTGGTAGTGGCACTGCGACGCGCGCACCAGCCACTCGCGGGACTTGGGGTCCAGCAGCGTCACGGACACGGCGTCGTCCTCGGGGTCCGTCCTGTTGCCGGCCGCGGCCACCTGGAGGGCAAGGACGGCCAAATCAGAGCCCTGGCGAGTGGGCGGCGTGTCCAAGGCGGCGACCCTAGCGGCAACCCTAGCGACAAAGCGGGTGGCCACCCTAGCGGCGCCCCGCCGGTCAGCGCACCCTGAGCTACCCCACGAGGATGCGCCCCCCTTCCCCCCTCCCCCTGCGGCCGGGGATCCCCTCAGAAGCCCCACAGCGCCGAAGAAGAGCAGGAAGCTACACTCTGCCGGCGACTTGGCCAAATGTTTTGTCAAGCCGTGTTCGGCGACTCGCCGACTCGGGCCAGAGAGAGTTTCCCAGTGTCCCAGTCCCGCGGTCCCTGGACTCCGGTCGGGGCTTCCACTCCACCCGCGTTTGATTTGTGGGCCGCGTAGCCGCGTAGCTGTCCGGCCGGCCTGTCCATTACCGGTGGCTGCCCGGTGGCTGCCCGGTGGCTGCCAAGAGGCTGCGGCTCCATTTTTAATGAGAGGGTGGGGGCCCACTGACATGTCGGAGGTTCGTTCCGAACAGGGCGCTCTCTGTCTCTCCCGCGCCGCTGCGGGACTTCCCGCGAGTGTGAGAGAGACAGAGAGCACCCCGTTGGGAGCCAGCCTGCAGGCCAGCAGAGGGTCAAACGCAGCCGGGGCGAGCCGTAAACCGGGGGCACACGGATTCATTATTACGTTGCCATATCCCATTGACTGCCGTGCGCCCTGCTGCCTGCCTGCCTGCATGCCCGGGGCGCGCCCTCATCATTATTTGTTTTCAATCAGCGGCGATCGCTTTCCATTTATTACTCTCCGAGTGCGAGGCCCTGCGAGACGCTGCGAGCGCCACGAGACGCCCCGCGGGGGGCCGCGGGGGCCGTGGGGGCCGTGGGGGCCGTGGGGGCCGTGGGGGCCGCGGGGCACTGCACTGCTGCGCCGCTTACCGTGGAGGGCGCCGTGTAAAGCCTCATGCTGCCGCGCTGCCGCCGCCCAGCTGACCGGCCGCACTGCCGCGGCGCGGCCCTCTATCAGCACGACGGCGACGTCCTTATCGGGGACCCAGAGATTGCACGTCCGCGTCGTCCGCGCCCATTCACGCCACTGGGAGGGACGCCGTCGTGACGCGACAAAAACCGCGCGACGTCACCCATCAAAAATTTCATAAATTTCAATCTGGCTCTCACGCCATCCCACGCGCCCCCGCACGCACACACACACTCACACACTCACTCGTGTGGAGTGCCTGACATGGCCGCCGCGACCACCGCCACCGCAAACTTTTATGAAGGGCATATTTCACACGGGTCTGGTGCCTAATTTGATGCGGCAATAAATACGCGGCAGACATCAACACCCACAACGGCAGCGGCGGCAGCCACGGCAGCCACCAGCAGCACCCGCCGCCGTGATGACCCCCGGCCTGCCCCGGCCCGGCCGGCAGCCTGCCGCTCGCGCGGTCAGCCCCGCCGCGCCGCGCCACGAACCGCCACTCGTGCGCCAGCGCGAAAAATGATATATTGCACCGGGACACGTATCTAAACACACACACAGCGTCACCGGGACACGTACCCCAACACACACACACAGCCACACCGACGCCTGGAAGTGACGCGACAACCCCGACTGCGCGCGCGGCCCGGCACGGCCCGGCGGGGTTACGGGGCTCTTGCGTGCGCTCAGGTCGCGGGCCACGCGAATTTCGCGCAAAGGGTTGGGGGTTGTGGGGTGGGGCGCTGCTCCACACACGAGAGGCGCGGGGGCGTGGCCCCGGCACGGCCCGGCTCGGCTGTGCCACCACCACCGCCGGCTCGAGATACGCGCGGAACACTGTGAGCGCGAAATATGACCTTTGGGATTAATGAAGTGCCCTTGTTTAAAAGCCAGCATCACTCACCCTCCCCCTTTCCCTTCACACGGACGCACCTACACACTCACACTCACACACACACACTACGTGCACGCCCCCTGCTCCGACACAGTGCGGGCGGCAACCCTTTCCAACCTACACGCGCGCACGCGCACACACACACACACACACATGCAGCGCGGAGGCCGAAACTTGGTCGAGGACGAATTCACATCTACGGCCTGTGTCGCTAGGGCGTTGTGACACATTTCTTAGAAATCCTGGTTAGGTTCAAATTGGCACAAATCCTCGGAAAATTCGCCGTTGTTACAAATATAAAGACCGCGAACTTGAGCGCGTCGTTCCCGTCGCCCCAATAAGAGCACCCATGAATTTCAATGAGAACCCCGCAGCAGCCCCTTGTATGACCTGGTATGATCTGGTATGACGCGGCCAATAATTTTTCAGCCCTAATTACCGCCGACGCGCCCCGCCCCGCCCCGCCCCGGGGGACGCATCCCCGGATTAATGAATACAAAGTCGCGCGTTCCGGCCGCCACCCGACCCCACTCCACGGCCCGGCCGAGCGTCAAACGATCGCACAACAAAAATTACCGGAGCACCCTCCAGTGGCCTCCAGTGCCCCTCCAGCGGCCGCCAGCGCCACTCCAGCGGCATCGGGCTCCAAAACGCGCAGCCAAGCAAATCTAACAACCACCGCGGCGCACGGCAGGGGGGGGGGAAGGGGGAGGCTCGAAAGCATCAAATGCAGGTCAAGAGCCTGGGAAACAAAGTTACCGCCGGCACGCCAATCACACGCGGCGCATGCGGTCGCGGTGGCAGCGTGTACACTGTACAGCGTGTGCGGGGCAGCCCTGGCCAAGCCCTGGCGGACAAGGCCCCCCGCCAACGCCCCGCCAACGGAAGCAACCCTCCGCGAATCAAACAATGGCAGTAGGCCAGCCCGGCGGCGCGCGGCACGGCACGACACGGCACGGCGTCTTGCCCCGGGCTGGACAGCGCTCCGGTTGCTCACCAATTAGTCGCCCTTTCTGCCAGGCCAGCCAGCCAGCCAGCCAGCCAGCCAGCCGGGCAGCCTACACTAGAGGCGATACAACTCGGCTTTGGCGGCTGAACCGTGGAATCACAGCGCTCGCTCGGCTGAACCATCCCACGAAAGCAAGCGCACTGACGTCACCGAGTTGTCCTAGCCCAGCCGCAGCGTTCAGTTCTCTAGCAAACCGTGGCCGAACCCGCGGCCGTGGGGCACAGTGCGGCAAAGGGCGCGCACACACACACGCACGCACACACATCTACGTGCACGTGCACAAGGCAGCCACAAGGAGTTCGAGGGGCTCTCAGCGGCGCCGCACGGTGGCGGCGGTGGTCGGGGAGGCTCCGGGGAGAAAAGAGAGTCGAGGCGGGGCGGCAGGCAGGGGTAGCGGCGGAGGTAAGGGTAAACTCAGAACATGCGAGTCTTGTTCTCTGCGGGGCGGGGCGGGGCGGTCCCCCGAGGCCGCGGGGATGTATGGCGAGTACGGGAGAGTGTTCTCCATTAGGCCCCGCGACTCCGGCCGACCCACCCCGCCCCACCCCACCCCCTCCGCCCGCGCATCAAACGCCGTCAGATCGCTGCCGAAGCGCGCGCCCGATCAAACCCAACACCGCGCGCCACCAGCAGCTTCAGGGACTGCTCCTCGTGATCCACAAGGCGGCACGGCGGCACGGCGCGGGGCCCCGCCGCCAACGTACCGGGGGGACGCGCGGGTGGAGGCTGCTGTACACGGAGCCCAACAACGGGCGGGGCGGGGCGGGGGAGGAACTCTCAGCAGCGACATTTAATTACCCCGGCAAAAGCACGGCGTGCACGGCGAGCAAGCCCCAGGGCTCCCAGGGCGCTACGCGGCGCTACGCGGCGCTACGCTCGCCGTCGAGGCCGCGGACGCCGTGGAGACGCTATGCGTACCCCCTCGGCGGCCGGGCGGCCTCGCAGCCCGCCTCCGCGGTCCCGAGGCGAACAAGCGCGCAAAACGCGAAGCGCAAAGCGCGGCCCGGGCAAACAAATTGGAAAAGGAAACAAAACGAAACCGCGCGCGGCTTTGGGAGGCGCGTTTCAGGCGAAGTGCGGCGAGCTGCCGCGGGCACGCGGCGACCGGAAGCCGAGCCGCCCCGCGACGACCCTCGAGAGCGAGAGAGAGGGCGCGCGCTTTAAAACGGGAAGAGGGAGACGGGCCGCGAAATAAAGGCAATAAAGCCAATAACAGTGCAGCGGCGCAGCGGCGTGCGTCATTAGGGTGCAGGGGGCGAGGCGGGCGGGGCGAGGCACTTGACGGCCGCGGCGGGTGGCGGGCGGCAGCGGCGGCAGCGCGCCACGCGCCGCGGGGGCCGCGGAGCCACGGCGCGGTGGCGCGCTGGCGGCGGAGGACAGCCAGCTGCACTATAAAACACGGCCGCGAAATTTGGACCGCAAACCCCGATTCCTTTTTCGTGCTTCTTCTTCTTCCAGCCGGCACGGCGGCGTTGTCGCGCCGTTTCCTGCCAGTGCGGCGCCGTGTAATTTTTAGCGCCGCCTGCTGTGAGTCTGGCTGTCTCTCTCTCTCTCTCTCACTCCAATGGGACGCCCCGTGGGTGCGAGAGAGACACACCCTCCCTCGAGTGAGACGGCGTCGTCGCTGACTCGCGGAAATGATTTTTACGGCCGTCGAGGCGCCCGCCGCGCCTCGCGCCCCCTCGCCGATGTTGCGGACAAGTTGTTGAACCGTCGCGACAACACTCGACGCCTTGCTGCCGTTAAGTTAAAAGGAGGCGCGGCGGCGCCACTGGACCATGACGACGACGGCGGCGGCGGGGAGGTCGCGTGCGAGGCCCTGCGTCCCTGCGACCGCAGTGCGAACCGCGCCGCCACGGCCTGCCCGCAGCCTGCCCACGGCCATACATCATCATCGGCGACCCTCCGGGCGACGCGTCATCGCCGTGCCCATTAGCCCCGGATATGCATCGACCCACAACGGGGCTGGCGGGCCGGGGCGTGGCGGGGCGTTCCCACAGGAGATGTTTGTTGGTCCGGCGACGCAGCGTCACGGTCCAGGCCGCGCTGACCGGGCAGAAGGGCCGGCTGTCGACTGGCCAAGGCGCCAACGCGGCCAACGCGGCCAAGGCCCCAAACTAGCTCGTCGGCCGCAACGCCGCCACTACAACCCTCTCGGCCGCAGTGCTGTGGCTGGCCGGCTGGCCGCTCGTAAACACCGGCTTGCTCATTACGAGACCAGCACGCCACGGCACGCCGTTCCGGCGGCCAGGCAGCCAACAGCGCTTGAGAGAATGTCACTACGGCCCTCCTACCCCGCCCTCGCAGAGTCGCAGGGGTTGCGGCGCCACACTGTGAAGCTGGCCCTGCTGGACCACTGGACGGGCTGGCCGGGGAGGGAGTGGGCAGTGCACGGCAGTGCAGGTGGGCGTGGAGTCGTCCGACGCCTGTCAGGCCGGCCCAGGGATGTCTTCGCTCTATCTCGCTCACACTCACGGGGCGGCCCGTAGGGGTGCGAGGGAGAAAAGCGACGAAACGTGATGCGGAGCGGAATCGGCTTGCAGGCCCGGCCGTGCCGTCCAGATGGATGACAGCGTGCCATACAGCGAGGCGGGGCGAAGCATCACCGCGCGCAGAGAGCGCCGGTCACCACCGATCACCGCGCCGGCGGCATCGTAAACCACGGCACCAGAATCCAATGACTCCGAAGTCCACGGCGAGCAAAGTCCCCAAGGTCGCGTCCGGACAAATAAAGGACGCGCGGAGGACGGTCCAGAGAAAAGCCAAACAGATGAGTCCGCGTGCCGCGGCGTCGCGGCGTCGTGACCCCCACGGCCGGGAGAGGTGGGGGGCGGGCCGGGCAGGCCGCGACACTCCGCCGCGCCACGCCGCCACGCCCCGCGGCCGCGAGGCCCCGCCCCACCCATCGCGGAGCCGCGGAGCGTGGAGCATCGCAGGGGCGGGGCAGGCCGGCCGGCCCAGCGAGTGGAATTCTTCCGCGACGGCCCCCCCCCCTTCCCCCTCCCCCAGCACCCCGCGGCAACAGGCCGGGCCGGCAGCGCCCGAGTTAGACCGCGGCATCGCGGCATCGCGAGGCCTCCTTCCGATGGGGCCGGGCCCGCCGCGCCACGCCGTGGACGGTCCCGTTTCGGCGGCGGCAGCGCCGCGGGCGGCCTAGAGGCACCAGCGGGGCCGGTCCACGGCGGCGGCCTTGATGACCACCGTGACCAGCATGACCACCGCGGCGCCAAAAGAGTCCGCCAGGTCGTTGCGCCCGCCGCACCGCCCGCACCGCCCCCGGCACTTCCATAGAAACCAGCCCCGCGGCTTTCCGTTTGCCCCGTTCGCGGTTTGGCTGCGTTGGCTGCGAACAGTGGACGTTTTTTCGGCCGTTTTGTAGGTTGTGTTTTCCGCGGCCTGGCGGTCCGGCCACCCTGTCCGGCCGGGCCTTCCGCTAGATGAGGCGCCCAATGGCGTGGCCGAGGGCAGAGGGCCGGGGGCAGAGGGCCGGGGGCAGAGGGCCGGGGGCACGGCTCATGATTCCCACTTTGCACCGCAGGGCTGCAGGGCTGCAGCGCTGCAATAACCGTCAGCCGCGGCCGTTTCGGCCACGGGGCCCGCCGGGCTAAACGGCCAAACGACTAAACGGCTCAATGAATTGATTGCCCGATCAGCCCCACTCGATTAAAACGATCGTAATCAATGTCGGCCGGCCATTGGGCAGCGCGGCAGCGCACTCGGATTTGTCGCTCGGCCCCTCTCGCACCCCCGCGCCCTCGACCGCGCCGCGAGTGCGAGAGAGACAGCGGCAGAGCGGCGGCACACGCCGCCCGCCCGGACGAGGTGCCCGACGACGCCACCGCATCGCCGCCGCCGTTTCCGAGAGCATCCTTAATCGAGTCACGTTTTTCGATTTTGCCATTAGGCTTGTACGCACAGCTGTGCGCCGTGTGTGTGTGTGTATGAGAGAGAGAGAGAGAGAGTGCGCGTGAGTGTGAGTGAGTGTGCGTGCGCGGTGCAGGTGTCGTGTGTGCGGTGCGGTGCTAGCAGGGGAGAGTAGGGAGAGTATAACGAAGCACCTGGTGAACGGTCAGCAAGCGGCTGTTACCCTGTTACCCTCACAACACACGCCTGGACGTGGACCCGCCCGCATTCTCCGCGCGCTCGGCCTGCAGTCCATTTCGTCGCGCTGTCTCCCTCTCTCGCACTCACGGGTCATGGCAGGTGCGAGAGAGAGCGATTCTTCGAGTCAGCTTGCGCGGCCAACCCTCCACCTGCCCGCTGCAAACGCTGCGCGCCGCAGCGCCCCTATGAGGCGCTCGGGAGGGGATTACCGACACGGCGGGCGGCGAGGCCCCGAGCACGTCGCCGACGTCGTCCCTCCAGGCCTCCAGGACCCGGAGTCCACGCGTCCGCGTGCCGTATCGTCTCCATTCTGGCCGAAATAGGATTAGAAAGACCAACGGCACTCGGCGACGGGCCCGGGCATGAGCCGGGCGGGGGCGACGACCCCGTCGAGCTCGACGGGCACCTCGCTGGACACCAAGTGCGTGGCCGGCGTGCACGCCGACAGCGCGGCGCCTCTCCATTCCAACGACCCAGTGGAGGCTTGCACCACGGCATGACGGCCACCTCGGTGGCCCGAGGCCCGGCCGGTTCGACACGTCAAGGCCCGCCGCCAAGGCACGGCCCCGTCGCGGCCTCGTCGCGGTCCCTCCGGCATGCGGCAGTCGGTCCGGCACGCCGCCGCCGTGCAGCGCGTCACCAGGGCGACAACGAAGCGCGCACGCCGACACACTGCCAAAGTGACGACAGTGTATGTCATGTGCGTGTCCGCAAAGCTTAGCGGGGACGAGTACACGTGTTCCGGTGTCGTCTCCGCGCCGAACAGGGCCCCGCCAGCCCCGCCGGCCGCGCGCAGCCCCGCCAACCCCTTCCAAAGGCGCACGCCGCTCTAAGCTTGTTTGTCGAACAAGGGTGCGGAGGGCATAAGTGGGCGACGCGATGCGGCAGCCAGGGCGGCGGGGCGGCAGGGCGGCGCGACGCAAAAACCGCAGCACGGCGGCGACAGCGCGGCGATGCCTCAACGCGCGGGGGGCGGGGGAGGGAGGGGGAGTCAGCGGAAACCCGACCAGTCCCACACCGCCAATAAGTCCAAGTCGAAACTCTTGCGGTGCACGGGGCGATGCAGTGCGGTGCACGCCGACCCGTCCGGCCCGCCACGCCCGGAGCTGCTCGGCTCTTCCGGTGTCTTCCTTCCGGAGCCCCCCCCCCCACACACACACATTCACACACACGCACAAACCTGTCCCGCGCAGCAGTAGGCCATGCAGGCGACCGAACGGGCAGCGCGGCGACGCCGTCGCCAAGCCCGGCCGGCTGCAGTTCAAAGACCCCGCCGCCGCCGCGGTGGTCACCAAGGCCAAAGAGGCGGCCGAGCAAGCAAATTTGACAGGTTAGCGATTCCCGACCACCGTCACGCCCTCGAGGGCGTGGCGGGCAGCAGGAAGGTGCGGCGGGGCGGCCAGAGGAAGTGGTGGAGCCCCCCCGCGCCCCGCCGCGCCCCGCCGCGCCCCGCCGCGCCCCCGCGCCCCAAGGGTGTCATCCTCGCCGGCCGCGCCACGGTATGCGATGCGCCACGGCAGCCCTGCAGGTGTCGTCCGCCTCTCGGGCAGCGCACTCTGGCGCGCCAACAAGAGGCGGCCACCACCACACCGCAAGCGCGCCAGGATGGACGGACAGTCCGCCCGAGAGGATCACGTCGAGGAAAACCTCATCGGGCAGCAAGCGAGACTCGAACCCGCGACTGCTCATCGCAAGTCTGTATCGCAGCCCCCGGGGTGATGGGGCTCTAGGCGCCACGGGGCGTCCTGCTGTGTCCGTCAGCCCGACAGTCCGTCGGCCTGCATATGCATGGGCGTCGCGACGGCGGCCACGGCATGGCGACGCAGCTCGAAACGTTTGACAGCCCGTTGACGTGTCTGTTTATGCGTCGGGGGCTGGCCGGGCTGGCCGACTGGCCATGGCCGGACCGCGGCCGAGGGGCCGAGCGAGGAGCCTGGAGTAGCCAGCTGTCACCGCAAGGCACCGGCCCGGGGCTGCGGTGCTGGCCCGGCACTGGCATACAGCGCAGAGCACCGCGACATAATTAATGACGGAGATGACCCCCGCAGTCTGATTCCGATCGGTCTCTCTCGCACCCACGGGGCGCCCCGCACGAGTGCGAGAAAGACAGAGCGACCAAAGCACTGTTCGTTCGGGAAGAGCCTGCAGCCTCGACCGGCGCCAGCACGCCCATGCATCCCCCTGGCAGGGCAGGGCGACCCTCCCGCCGGGCGAGCCCCGAGCCCGGACCCCGGACGATGCCGGACAGGGACACGCCACTGTGCGAAATGGGGTGGCCTCGGCCTGGCCTCGCACTGGCCTCGGCCACACCGGAGTCATCAACTAACTAGGCCTCCGCCGTTGTGTCGAGTCACAACGTCCAGCCATGAGAAAAAGCGGAGCCGGGAGGTCCATGGCCTCGCGGCCGCGGGGAAGGGGAGGGGAGGGGAAGGAGGGCTGAGATCAGCAAGTCACACTGCGTGGCCTGCGTGGTTGGCGGGGGGAGGCATGGGAACCTCTCATCGACTGCACATCGACACAACGGGAGTCCCAATAGGAACATCAACGTCCTGGCTGGCCTCCATACTTCGGGGGTCATACTGGGAGTCATGCCGTGAGCAATGTTGGGAGTCTGCCTGGGAGTCTGACTGGGAGCCCTATTGAGCCCCTGCTTTCTGCTCGGGTTGGCACAGCTCAGGCGCCGCCGCAGCGGCCCTATTCCATTCTTCTTTTTCTTACCTTGTCGGGCTTCTTCCTCGACGGGAGGTGGGCCCGCTGCAGCTCGTTCTCGGACGCCAGGCGGTTAAACTTCTGCATCGCGTCGCGAACACTAATCTTGTGCTCAGCCTCCGACTCGGCAAGCGAATTCTAAGCCAAATCAAACAGCACACACACAAACAATCAGAAAAAAAATCCCAAACACGTAAAAAAAAAGATTATTTAAACACATGACATGCATAGTTTTGTGCAATAGATTTTTTTAAAATTGTTTTTTAAGTATGACAGGCATTTAAGCATTCAAACACCAAACTTATGGATTTTTAATGAAGGTTACACTTTAAAAGCAACCAAAAGCAGTTATTATTTAAATTTTTTAAATCACTCCCATGACATTAAAAATGCATATGGATCTGATTAATGCCAAATGAAAGGATGATTGTATTGACTTACCCTTTTTGAGTCATAATCGTCACTTTTTGGCCTCTTCTTAGGGTCTGACACATCGGAACAATTTTCCTTGTTGTCGAGCTTCAAAGATTTCACACTACTTTTCCTCCTGGGAGGGACAGGTGGCGCAATGGCTGGTTCGTCCGCAGCATCAATTGAATCCACACTTGATTGTCTTGCTAGTTCTGCAGTTGCAGCTTCTTCTGACAATAATGCAGTGATGGGAGGTGGTCGACCTTTGTTCGTTGGTGGAGGAGGAGGGGGCATCATGATATGAGGTTGTGGTGGAGGTCCTCGTGTTGGCGACACAACAGGAGGTGGAGGCGCTCGATATGGGGGTGGAGCTCTTGAAGGTGACATTGGCTCAGAAAAGGATTGTGATGGAGAAGTGTATATATTGCTATTGGAGCCCATGTGAGAGAATTGCAGCGGGGAAAATGAACAAACTGATTCATACCCTGCGTTGGGGTTTAGGTGGTCTGAGGGAGGAGGCGATGTTGGGTAAGGTGGACATGATGAAGATGGCTCAAAGAACATTGGTTCTTGATATTTCTTTTTTAAAACAAGAAATTTTTCTCCCTAAAACAAACAATTTTACACAAATTTTATGTTAGCTATAAGTATTTTAAAACTCCAGAGGACAATTCACTAAAGGAAAACATTTTACCTCTTCGGTACGAATTGTTGCAACAACATTGACTATTTCTTTGAAATGCTCCCGTGCCTGGACTGAAAAGGAAATGAAAACAAAATGAGATAAGCTGCGGTAGAGGTTAGGTCACTGTGAAAGATGCCAATTACATTCCAGGCCACCTGTTGCATTTGGGTTGACCACATTTATGAAAGTTCCAAAGAACTAAATTACCAACATGGCATGATAAATTCAATATAAAACAGTATACTTGCGGAATCTAACATAAATAGCAAAGTAACTTTTATCTTTGTGAACTAAACAAGATATCAAATAAAGTGGAACACAAGACTCAACCGCACATAAGAGAAAATGAAAAAGTGTAGGAAAGTAGGGTTAGTGCGAGCACTAAGCTCTTCAGAAAGACAAGGGTCCTAATCAAATAAATAATAAAGAAAGTATTTTACATGTTTTGATTGTTGACAAGTAGTGATTCATCAGTCAATTGAAGTCACAAGAAACACAATTTCAATCCAAAAACGCGGATGACAGCATTCAAAGAAAGAACAAATAAGTTTCTTTCACTGTCAATAATTATTGTATGGTATATACAATGACCTAAAATAGCAACTGGTGGTATAACCTGTTTATCAGTCCACTCCCATTCCACTAACCTCTATTGACAGGGTTTGTGAGAAATTGCTTGAAATGCTTGACGAGGTCATGATTGGTGACTTTCCCTCCATTTTCTAGCATAAACCTTCTCACAGCTTCCAAAGAAAGTTCCGACGGCACAGACATGTTTTGATTGATGTTCAAAAACAAATCGAAAGAGGGGCAATACCCGCCACACAAACAAAACCAAACAATAACAAGGACAGAAACAACAACAAGACGCGGACGCGCCTTGTAGAACGCTGCGGTGCCGTTCTCAGCGCGCCGTTGGCGGGAAGGCCCGCTTCTTTTGATTTCCTCGACGAACGAGAAGCGACCTCTCCATTCATAGAAGGTTGCGGAGCAGAGCCGGAGTTTTTGACACCACGCCTTTTCCTTATCTTCGCGTGCGGGAAATCAAGTCGAATGCTACATTTTGAATTGTCTATATTTTTTAACAAGTCAAAACAGGTAAAAAGCTTCGAAAAAAAAAATTATCATTGTGAATCTGAAGCAGAGAAATCGACAACAATGTTTGAGGGGAAGCAAAGGAAATGAAAGTGCGCAGCGCGTTGGGCGGTCGAGAAGTCGACTGAAGCCCTCCGTCCTCGTCCTCCCTGGCCACCTTCACCCCAAAGCGCGCCAAGCGCGCCCGGCCACAACCAACCCGCAAAGGTTGCCCGTTTGCGGCGGGATGGACAAGACACTCTACGACTCTACGACGGGACGAGGATCTGTGTTCGCCGTGTGCATGTGTGTGTGTGTGTGGGGGGGGGGGGAGTCGTGGCCGAGTGAGGGGCCAGCGAGGGGTGGCTCACGAAGGGGTGGGGCTGGCTGGCTGGCCACTGGCTGGCCGCTGGCAAACCGGGGTTGGCGAGGGCAGTGGATCATTAAGAGTGGACATGTAAAGGGCTGATTAGGTCCAGCCCAGCAGGCTGATTCCGAGTTGGAGCTTTCTCTCTCTCTTACTCATGGGGCGTGCTGTGTGAGTGCGAGAGAGACAGGCCGACAGTCGCGGTGCTGGGTCGGCAGTGCTGTCGACGCTGGCCCAGACTCGTCTCTTGGAGGGAGCCCCGGAAAAGCACCATCGAGTGCATTTTTCATGTTTTTTTTCTTCCCCCAGCTTTTTTCCCGGTGTAGCCGACTCCTATCGCCTGTTTCCCCGCTTGCGTGCTGGCGGGGCTGCGGCGCGTTTGTCATACAGCTACTACACTGTGCACGCGGCTGACGCGGCTGACGCGGCTCCAGGCTGGAGCTTCTGGAGCCTCCAGACGGTACCAGGACGACCTGCCAGGACACCCAAACTATCATGTTCCACATAATTACTCCAGTGGTTAGGCTGTTTAGGAGGCATTCAGAATGAGGCGCTGTGGGCGTGGCGTGGCGTGGCGCGGCGCGGCCAGGACGGCGACGACGCCCCCCTTTCGTCCCCGCCAGCCCCGCCCCTGCCTCGCGCCTCGCGCCTCGGGGCAGGCCGGCACCGGCAGGGCAGGACCGGCAGGCCATCACACGATCGCGTTTCAGGTACTACAGTACCAGGTGCGTGGTGCGGCCCGTCCCAATAGCCAGCCTCGCGGGGCGTCGCGGGGCGTCGCGGGGCGTCGCGGGGCGGGGCCAGCAGCTCCGTTCGCTCCGTCTCTCTCGCGCTCGCAGGGCGTTCGGTCGGGGTGCGAGAGAGACAGGACGACTGCGCGAGGCTCGCGAGGCCACCGGCACGGCGAGGCAGGGCATCAGCCTCTGCCTTCCCCTGCGCGCCCTGCGCCATGTGGGTTGCCTGCCGGCACGGCGTCTCTCTGTCACTCTCGCACTCACTCGGCGTCCCGCGTTCCGTGTGTGTGTGTGTGCGAGAGAGGCAGAGAGCCGACGGCAGGGGGCATGCAGGTCGCGGTGCCCGCAGCGGAGCGGCCCCCGCGGCGGTCTTCCCCACCTAGAGTCTCTAGAGCCTACAGTCGGTTCACCTGGCGGCGCTCGCAGGCTCTCCAAAAAACATCCCGGTCGGCCGTGTGGGAAAAGGGCTGACGCAGCCGTTTGTGACGACTTGTGTACACGGAACAATTAGCGCTTTTTTTCTCTCTCTCTCCCTCCCGTCTCCTTTCCCCGGGAAGGGAACTTCGGTAGGAATGATGAATGATGAATGCGGCGCGTAGCGGGCTGCGTTGCGAAGGGCAGCGATCCGCGAGTGCAGTGGAACAGCGGAACGCGTTTCGTGCTTCTGGGCGGGAAAGGTGGCAGCCTGGCCCACCATGAGATGACGTGACCAATGACGAGGTCGCCCCTGTGATGAGATGGGGGAACTGTCTGCCGGTTCGCCGGATTGCCCTCTTTCGCTGAAATTTCCTTTGGCGTCTTTTTTTCTGAGCACTTGACCTAACCTGACCTAACCTAACCTAACCCAACCTAACCTAACCGCGCCGCAGCGCAAACCGGGCGCTCGGTCTTTGCTCCGCCGCAGCCATACAAAACGATGGCAATTAAATTCGCAGGAGGCGCGCTTCCGGCGGAGCGCATCGCAAACTGCCCCCCTCCCCCTCCCCCCTGCCCCCGCGGGGGCGGCGAGGCGAGGCGGCGCTGCTGCAGTGTGTGTTCTCAGGACATCGCGCGCCGCGCCCCACCGCGCCCCGCCGCTCCTCGGACAGCGGTGTTAACGGCCTGCTGCCTCGCGAACGCCGCGGACCACCACACCGTCGTGGCGGGCACCACCAGCTGATCACCGCACACGGTTTTGGCGCCAAAAAAACAGAACGAATTCTTTGACGCGGCGCCCCACTGCTTTCGGTACCGCTCTGGCGCTAGTCCGTAGTGCAGCCTGCAGTTTGCGGTCGGGGCGCGTGAGTGAGTGTGTGTGTGTGTGTGTGTGTGTGTGTGTGTGTGTGTGAGCGGGGCTTACCGAACTACCACGCTAGGCCCCCGGCCGGCACGGTTAGCGCGATTCATGCGGCCGCATTAGTGTAGTGGGGTCCGAAAGGCTGCGAGTGTGTGCGTGCGTGTGTCGGCGTGTGTGTGAAATATACTACGTACTCCGGGGCGCGGTGCTGCGCGGTGCTGCGCGGTGCTGTTCGTGGGGTTCATGTTTTCACATTGGCTGCCTCGGTAAACGCCAGGCACCATTTACTTTTTCTACCTTTTTCCTCTTTTCCGTTCACCTTTTTCCAGTGCTGCTGCTTTCCCAGCGCGGCTTTGCCTCCCCGCAACCCTTTTTTCGCCTTTTTTTCTCGTTTCGTTTTCAGCCGCAACAGAAGAAGAATACAGGTGAGTAATAACTGAAAACACGGGGCGGCCTTCTCCGCGGCAGCGCGGAAACACGTCCCGTTTGAGAGCGCCCCGCCCCGCTGCTCCAGGGCCCCAGAAAAGCGAGGCATTTACCTCCACCTGGTCAGGCTGGCTGCCAGGCGCCCCATCTGCAGCCGCACGCCAATAATAAGGCCATTCATTGTCTGCACCGACTGTCTCTCTCCCACCCGTCGGGAAGGCCTCACGAGTCCGAGAGAGACGGTGCGACTGTCGCACGGTTCGGAATCGCTCCGTCCTGGTTCGGGTCCTGGTTCGGGTCCTGGTCGGGGCTGCGGGGGTCCCGGGCTGTCCCCGCCACCAGGCAACCCGCGCGACACACGAACAACGCCGCCAAAGTATTTATGGTGCAGATGGCGTCCTCAGGCAACCACAGCGCGCCGCCGCCACCGCCGCCACCGCAGCAGCCTGCGATACCAGGCTTGCATTTTGTGCTGCGGCTGCGACGCTGTTACCGAGGGGGATGCGCGAAGCGAAGCACACACCGACGACCTTTCTAGTGAACGCGCGTGTGTGTGTGTGTTTGTGTGTGTTTGTGTGTTTCCAACAACACCCCCTGCAGCTCTCTCATCCCTTTGGTTCAGCGTTCAGCCCCCAACACGCAGAGATGTATTTGTGCGTGTGAGGTGTGCCCCTGTGTGTGTGTGAGAGAGAGCGCAGCCACACACTATAAACCAGCAAACCGCACCCCGTACAACGTGCCCCCACAGAGTATGATCAAGCCCCCCCTCCCTTTCCCCCCCGCGCCCTTTGAAAGCCACTCCGACATCTCACCGTCGACACGCCGGCACGCCACGGCACGCCACGCCACGGCGCCATCCCTCGGCATTTGGCATCGCCGCGCTAATCTCTTCCGGGTCACAGGGCTGCTTATTGAGGCCCTGTCGCGGCGTGGCGTGGCGAGGCGTGGGCGGTGTTGGCCCCCTCTCAGCCCGGCCGGAGATGGAGGGGTCGTTGATAGGTCGGTGCAGCGTACTGAAATCGGGAATAAGACTCTGGCCGCCGGTGCCTCCCGAAGGGGGCGAACTTCGGCACCCTAATTCGCGCAAGTCCGACGGATTTGGGGGACTTTGGTCGGGCTGGTGCGTTGCCATGTGCCGCAGTCCGCTCGGCCGGCCCGCCGCGCGACTCCCGACTCTGTCGGCAACTTGCATTATTTCCGCGGTCGGACTGCCGAGCCACTGCCAAGCCAGCCCGGCCTTACATCCCATTGATTACCATCCACTGTCCATTTGCATGGCCAACAAGACTGTCTCCCACCACACCAGCGAAATGAACAATGGCGGGGAGGGGAAGACAGGGGAAAAAAATCTTTATTAATCCGGCCAGCGAGCGGAGCATGTCCCCCGCGGGGGGTGACCCCTGACCCCGCGGCCGTAAACCTCCACTAGATAGTGCAGTGAGCACCCCGGAGCACCCCGCCAAACTCGATGCAAATTAATTGCTTCGCCATTGTCGCCTCGCCACCTGGAGGACGCACTTCTCCGCCACCGAGACGATCGCGGACCTCCCAGCTATTGACACAGCATCCAGGCGGCACCCCGCGGCGCCCCGCCGCCACCCGAGTGCGCGTTTGTGTGTGTGTGTGCGTGTGTGTTTAAAGGGAGACAGTGTGTGTGTTGATTCCGAGATAAATGCGAAATCTCGCGCCTTGTTTCGTGGTGCACCAGAAAATGAATGAGGCCGGCCCGGAGCAAAGCAACCCGTCACGATGAACCGCATCAATAAGCACACCGGGAACCCCCCTCCCCTCCCCCTCTCTCCGTGCAATAATACAGGACGGTGCGGCATGTTCCACCGGCTAGAGAGCCACACACACACGGCACACACACACACACGCACGCACACACAGACAGACACAGCGTGCGGCGTGGCGGCGCGGGGCGGAGCTGTGTCCAATGTTTTATGCATCGCCGCCATAGATAAACCGACCGACACCCGCCAAAAAATAAATA